ACTGGCAGTGGCAAAATTGAGTGTGTTTGCTTTGTAGGAGTGTGTATGTGTGTTGGCTGGAGCACTTTGCACTTCACATGATCACTATTTTTGTGTTTGTAATAGTTAGTGATCGGTTAATCATCAGTTTATTATTTAGTTGTTTTTGTAAAAGTGGAAAATGTCAGAAGAAATATTACCATATGGCCATCACAAGTTTCCAGAAATTTTAATTTGTTTTGCCTAACAAGCTGTATCCAGCAAAAGTTTGGTATATTTCATAAATTCTGTGTTATTGGTGAAAAAAAAAGTATTAGATTTATAGTTAGTCATTATACTTAATCGATCAACTATTTCAACACTAGATTTAGTCTTAAAGACATCCCATACTATGAAGTGGAATGTTATCCTCGCTTGAACCAAAACCAAAACCAAAATACAAAATAAATTGAGGCCAAAGCCAAAATTACTCCAAACTACCACAGCTTGGAAAGAAAGAAAAAAAACACGACAACAAGCAAAACAAGTTTCATCACTATCTAAATAGACATCAGACATGTGATGGAACCTTAAATATACGAGTTATAAAAGGTTTCCATTAAATAAATAAGCATTTTCTGTCTTTATCCATTTGTAAAGCACAGCCCCCCAACAGTAAAGCACCATACAAAACAATATAAAAAAACAAAGATCAGAACCTCTGATAGCACTTTCTTTACAAAAAAGTGTGTGGGATGGCAGCTGAAGCCAAACTCTGGCAAAACGTATGTGTCTGTTCTCAGCCTACACTCGGAAACGCTGTCATTATGCTGTCATACGATGACCACCAAGACTAAAGAAATAAGCACACAGTGGCTCTAGTATATTATACAAGTGTGGTGACTTTTGGAAACATGAGCTTAAGCTGCTGCTAATTATGTTTGACCTTTAAATGGGACGAAAGGAGGACCGGATGCTAGTGAGAGAGTAAGGACAAAACAGAGAGAGTTAACAGATGAGTATGCCTGTGTGAAATGTCGGTGCTCTGACCTCAGTGGAGAAGGGGACATTCAGTCCTGTGTGTGTAGCTTTTGGACTTCAACCAAACATCGTTTCCTTCCTTCCCTTTCCCTTTAAATCTTTATGAATGTAAACGTAAATCTTAGAAGCAACAGGAAGTGAGTAAAAACGCCATTTTAAGAATTTATTTTTTCCTTCTAAATTACTGGCTTAAAACAATTAAACACACACCAAAGCATACCAGTCAAACCCCACCGCCTCGTGAGACAAACTAGTCTCATATTTTTTTAGCACAAACACAACCAAGTGACTGGTGCTAAAGAAAACACACAAACAGGGCAGCCATTGTTCTGCCAGGTACGAAGGCGCCTTAGATTTATCCAGTTTGTTATGGTGACTAACGTTCAGTGTTTCTTTTATTGAGTCATACCATAACGACAGTACGTAGCATGAAAAACCACCTGTTTTTGAAATTGACACTCACATAGGAATAAAGTAGATTCATTCCATAAGAACATAAGGGGAAAAGATACAGCACAAGCAATTCTTGTTCTTTACGGCTGGAAAAAAATGAAAGGGAAGACTGCACCAAGGGAAGGAGGAGTGTTCAAGTATCAAGGCTAATATGGATCTGTTAGACGCCAATGCAAATGCATGTAAATGTTACCGAACAGGCATCAATTGTTTCCCCTATGCAGGTGCACACGATATCAGTATAACTATTAACAAACAAGTATCAATTTTCTCCCCTCTGCAGGTGAATACAATATCACCTTAACACAGATGAAGGAATGATTGCTGTGATCCACCTAAACCTTCTGATACACTAACTATATTTCCATTTTTTTCCCCAAGTTAGAGCTCTGAAATGATCTAATAAAAAAGTATTGTAGTAATTACTATACACTGTTAATAAAAGTAACCAACTACTGGGTAGGGTAGGTTATTACAGGATCCACATTTTTTTTTAGAAAAAGATGTGATAATAATCCCCATCCCATTTCTATAAGAACATACTATATTTTACAGAGAGGGAAAACAGCTCTCCTGTGCTTGCACATCATATTTAAGCAACATACTATGATTTGTTATTTAGTTGAGTACATTTTGTGTAGAGTTAAACGGGGTCCTTTTGGAGACCGAGATAAAACAGCCACAACATGTTGCTGATCCATACTGTAGCACATTGGCAAGGTAATCAAAATATTAAGACATTATCAGAAAAATATCAGCTAATATGACCATAATATGAAACATCTATGATGACGAAATGACGCACAATAATAGTAATAATGTGTAATATCTATATATTTTTTATATTCTGATTCTGTTCCTCCAGGAAAGGTGGCTAATACAGCAGATATCCCAAACTGCATCATCAATTAGCATTAGCAACTGGGCAGCGTGATAGGTAACATCATTCACGTTGAAAGTCACAAACAACGGACAGACGGCGATTACACTTATATATAATGTAGCTATCACATTTAACAACATGTTTATCAAGTGAGACAGTGTACTTCAAATCGGAAAAGCTGAGTTAAATGTCATTATAAATTCATTTAACGCCAGCGGCCAGCACCCCAAATCACACACACGCAGACAGGCCACTGCTAACGTTGAGCAGGTACAGTCGCTGCCACCTAAAGACGATGGTTAAACGTTATTCTGAGATCACAAATAACAACAAAATTACCTCTGAAGTAGCAAGAAACCTTTTGCAGTGTTGTTTACGTTGTATATATATCCAACAAATCCAGATTCCTGACAATCCCTGCCCCGTGATAGTTGTTGACGCTAGCCCATTCCCAATGAATCCTGAGGAGGTTTGGATTACTGGAATGGAGCGGAGCAGGGAGTTTGATTGACGTTTGCATTGACCAATGGGCTTCGACTATACTGTTTTTCACATGGGAGAGGGCGTTGTCGTGCTGCGTTCATGTCACACAGGAAACACGGAGAAACGGGTTGTAAGGGTTCACGACCATGGTCACACGACCATTACTGTATATGTCGATGGTCACGACACCCGTCCAGACCACTTTTAGGACGCGATTTTCTGGATTACAGTATCTGAGTCATCAGCTAGAGTGATATGAAAATGATTTCTAACATGCGATGTGAACTTTTTTATTTAAAAAATTGGAGGATTTTATTGTGGGACCCAAATGCACCGTGCGTGTTGACAACAGACTAGTTAGTAAAAATAACGAGACATTTGAAAAAAAAAAGTTCTTGTACAATCCCAATATTTAATTTAATAATATACTGAATATGTATCTGTACTGATCGATAGGGCTGGGTGATATGGTTCAAATAATTATAAAAAGATTGATAAGCATATTTTCGGCTATTGGCTTGAAAGATCTCATATAAAATGATCAAACTGGTGTTAAAAGTACCGGACTGTGTTCCACTTTTATCAATTACATGAAACCGAAAACTTTTGTTGTTGTTGAATGACAGTTTGTTAAGATTTATTCATTTAGACAACAGATAAAATAAAATAAGCCTTTATTATCCCCTGGGTGGAAATTCTATTTCAAATAAAATAAATTCAATTGAATAATACGTGAAAGAAATTAAATTGAATAATAAATAAAAGAAATTAAATTGAATAATAAATAAAAGAAATTAAATTTAATAATAAACTAAAGAAATTAAATTCAAAAGCAAAACAGTATATATACATTAAAATACTTTAAGTCACATATTGTGGAAGGAATTGTATGTCCTAGTATTGTAGTGTATGTAGTACATACATGATATAAACATTGATGATTGTAGAATAATAATACCAAATCACCAGAATAAAAAAAGTTAATAACGATAATATGAGTGGCCAATAATTAGGGTTAATATAGTTTTATGATATAGTTTATATCAACGGAGTTGGCAAAGAGTTCAAGATGTTTATTGCATATTCCAACCAAAAGGCAAGTTTTTCCCGCCGTCCTGTGCCCAATAAAATCTTTCTTTGCCTGTCGCACCGCTGATACCGCGACGCATTAAATACCACTAGTATAATCGCAAGTAGAGTAACAAAAACACAATATTGGCAATACCAATAATATAATATAAAAAAAACCCCAATATTAGGCAATAAGTGGGCATTAGTCAAAAAATAAAATAGAGAATCAATATTAGCAGTAATTTTAAATTACTGATATGTAGGGAGACGCAGGGCTTGTTGTCAGCAGCTTTTTCAGCTCTTATATGACTTTCTTGAAATCTATACACGCATATAAAACAGTGTACCAGATGAAAGACCAAAGTCGCAGGTAATATAATTTGTATTCATGTGCCATTTTCATATCTTGTGTCAGTGCAGAGTTATAGCAATCACAGATAGAGAGTGTGAACCATGTGACATGTTGGGGCCCCACCATCGGGTAAATTGTCTCCACTATATGGTAAGATGAAGCACTGGATTTCAACTAATAAACAGGACAAAATATTGTTGTTGTTCTTTTTTTATTTAAAGTGAACATTGAGTCCAGGCCACAGAAAATGTTATCATTGAGCTTGAAAAAGCCATTGAACCAAATTAAAATAAAATATATGGCAAGCATGCACTGGAATTAAAGTCCCTATAGGAAGTTTTTTTTGGCTGGCAGCGTAGGCTATGGCTCTCAGACTCAAAATGCATGTTTTACCTTTGCCTAAACTCAAATTTCCAGATTGAATTGAAATTACAAAAAAAGAAAGCATTTGGTTCATTTCAATACCTTAAAACCCAGTCCCTGAAATGTGGAACATAGGTTCCCAAGCAAAGCAACTGGAACGATCGCCATTTCCTAAAACTCAAACAAAAAACCTGACCAAACCAAATTTCCTCCACTAACTCAAGACCTCATCATCCCGCATGAAGCAGTTCGGCATAACGACGAAAGCTGATTTGCCAGGGTGCATTCTTCATGGCCCGCCATCCTTTTGCATATCATGCACTGGCACCCCAGGTATTCTTCTGGGCGGCTGTTTCGCAAAAATGAACTTAAACAAAGCAAGACCAGGCCCACAGGGACTCATCTTCTTCGCGATGAGGGAGTGATCTGGAGTTTTCTCTTTGTACGCGTGCCGCCTCCGGTTTGCTTCCTTTGGGTATTTGATTTAGTTGCTTGCGGCTTTACGTGTGACAACGAAGCCCCAAAAAAAATGACTGAGACATTTGCCCGCAAAAACTAAAAACCGAAATGTTTGCCTAAGCTCTAGTTTAACCGTTAGCCTCTAGTTTAAAGTTAGCTTAAAACAGAAAAAACATGACTTACGGTATGAGCAGGTCCTTAATCTCATCCTGCTAAACAAGGTCCAGCCATGTATCCAGGACTGTTAGGAAGTTTTTATCTGAACGAGAGCTTATTCTTGAAATATACCCATAAAGTTGATATTCTTTACCTGTGGATCTGTGCAAAATGGTTAGCTGGTGGCTGCATGCGCCAAAAGCTCACAATGTGCTAAAATCCTCCCTCTCCAGACCAGGTGTACGATGTGGTAAGGCTAGTGCCTGATGTACGCTGTGTGTGTAATGTGGGTGTGTATAAAGTGTGGAAGTGGTGATGAAAGCTTAAAGTTGTATTCCACTTTGGGCGGGCCCCCTTTTTGGTGGAGAAAAAAGAATAATTGCATATGTGAGCATACTTACCCGTGTGAACAAAAAAACAAAAAAGCCGGCGGTCTCCGCTAAAAACCGAAAAAATACGGCAATAAATACATCTCTACTTCTATTTTTATTTCTAGATATATTGTTACATATTGTAATATAATCATTATTTCTGTTCTTAATGTCGTGTAACGAACAAATTTCCCCCCTGGAGAGATTAATAAAGTATTTCTGATTCAGATATCAACAGCTGGTACTCAGTATGTGGACTTTCTGGGTTCTTTTCTTAATCTAATTCTATATAACATCTCCATTAAACTAATGCCTGTACTGAATTAATCAAGGGTGTTAAAATCAGTTGTACCCTTTCTTGTTATAGGTAGATAAAAGTTAAACGCAGAGAGAGCCATCGATCAGGGGGTGCAGTGGTTCGATAGGGGGCAGCAGCGGGTCCCCGGATGTACTCACACAGCCCGCAGTGAAGAAGAGAAGTGGGCGGGGCTTCGGTAGCACTACAGCGCCACTTTTGAGCGGTCCTCCACTCCGTGAACAGTAACAGACCGCAGGAGCTGTCAGAGAAACCCGAGAGAACAGTGCCAAGACGGTCGAGCCTTCAGTTATATGTGGAAGGTATATTAAATTGTTTTAGTTCTATTAAATGGTGTTTAATGATGCTTGAAATTACAGCGTTGCACCCAGGGGCTTGGCAGCTAACGTTACAGCGTGCTAACGTCACTCTCCTTCCCTACCGACGGTTGCTAGGAGCTTAGCTTGCTAACGCCGCTGGCTCAACTGCCGCTGACAACCATACAGCATCAAATAGTGAAGGATTCAACAGGTTCACTGTACTTTACAACTTATTCTCTAACTTATAGCTTCAGTGTTGACGCTGAGGTGTTACACTGACATCTGGGTCACTATATTTGTTACCTGGTATCACAATATGACCACAAATAACGTCAGCTATAAGTTAAGTTGATCAAGACGTCTTGTTACCTGAGATCAAATATATCTTTATAGTTCAGTAGTTAAGTTTCTGTACAATTTCTCCTTAGTTACACTTAGTTTTGCACACCACTTATAGACATTTGCGTATGATCACAACTCTCACTGTAAAACAACCTCAGTTGCAGACTGTGGATCACTTGTAATCGTTTTATTTATGATGTTTGATCCTCAGACCTTCATGTAAAATTTTCAGAATGGACCAAAACATTGCAATTAATTAATTGGTCTTAAAACAATACTCAGATTATAAAAACACTCTGTAATGATTCCACCTGGCCCTAAAGAGACTCCTTCCAAATGTGAAAAAATGTAAATAACAGGGGTAAAAAATCCACACTCCTCGATGTGTGCAAAAATGTATTGAAAATATAGCTGAAGTTAATATGATGCTTTAGCAGACTGAATTCAATAAATCAGGAGAAATTAGTGCAGCAAACTGACTTGAAAAATTGTGAAGTTATCCTCTAAGTAATATTGTCTAAGGACATCGACCTTAGATGCAAATACATTTTTCAAATAGCAGAAATCAAAAATTGGATTGAGCCAGCCATTTAATATACAAAAACAAACTGATGGAGATGAACCTTTTTTTGGTGATTCACAGTTTTTCCATCAGTGCCCGAGGAGTGGATAAGATCTTCTGGCCCTATATTTAACTTTGTATTACTCTGACTAGTGAAAAGTTTGCTTAGTGACGTCTTAAAAATACTTTTGTTCCTAGGTCAAAGATGGTTCAAGACAGTGCTCACATTCGGCAGCGGGGTGCCCAGGACTTTATGGCATACTATGAATTTGCCTGTGCCCGGCAGGAATCAGTCCCTCTCCCCGCTGTTAAGATGAACCTTGACAAAGGGATGCTGGACTTTCATGGAGACAGGGTCAAACTGACGGACTGGCCACCCATTCTCAACTCTATCTGCATCAACAAACACCTGCACCACATTGCAATAAGTAGCACATACCAAGCTAGTCTGGCTTCTGGAGATGCAGGTAGGGCAGGATAATTAGAATTAGAAAACTTGAATGACTGAATGTTCAACTTTGCATACAAGCATTAATCATATCACCACCGATTTCAGATAGAAGATACTATAGGTCAAGCTTCAGGAAGAAGATCCCAGCCATTCGCTCTAAAGACATGACATTCAAGTTGTGCAAGGCCCTGAGAGAGTGTCTGACTGTCTCTGCTAACCTAAAGACTCTGCAGCTTAACGGCCTCCCACTGAGAGAGAGGGACCTCATCACCTTGACAAAGGTAAAAACAAACTAGGAATATGATCTGCAGTGTAAACAGTGTATTTTTAACTTATTTAGAGAAACAGAATCAGAAGCTCATTTGTATTTACTCCCCACTTTTCTCTTCGCTGTCTACTGTCAGAATCAATTTTGAAGCTGTGAGTATTAAGAAATAAGCCTGTAACTGTTAACTCCAGGGGTACTGAGGATTAAACATAGCTATTGTGTGTGTGTGACAAATTACACCTGAATATTATTTCAAACAGCTGCTTGTGAGTGTTTAAGGGTGAAACTTGATTAAAAAAAACCTAATTAAAGATAATGAGCCATATGTATCTATTCCAGGGTTTAGCAAAAAGTGTTTCCTTGGAAAACCTTTCTCTGGCAAACTGTCCAATTGCAGATGAGGGCTTAGAGGGTATGTACTTGTACATTCACAGTTTTATTTCCTTTTATTGTTCAGAAAACCTTCACAAGATTGTAATGCATGTGAGCGTGTTGTCTTCGTAACTGCCATTTTTATATGTTTCAGTAATTTGCCAAAGTGTAAAGTATTCCACGAGAATCAGGACGGTAGATTTTACAGGATGCAATCTCACTTGGAAAGGGGCAGAGCATTTGGCCAACATCATCAAGGTTTAATGTCATTTTTAAGAATTTCAAAAATGATAAATTATATTAAAAAAAATACATATTTGTTTAAAATAAAAACAATTCTCAGCATCAGGGAATGCAGAGGCATGGTACCGCATGGGCAGAGTCTCTGAGGTATCGACAACCACAGTTTGAGGGAATGGGAGGTCTCCGCCGCATCACCCTTAACTGTAACACTTTGATTGGGGACCGAGGGGCTGCTGCACTTGCACACGAACTGGCTGAGGACCTCTGGGTTAAAGGTTAGTAGGTGTGTGGGTTTGAGTGAAATACAAAGAGAAGACTTTGTTTTATTATTGCTGTTTGCTTTTTAGTAGGGATTTTCTCGAGTTTTCTGTGTCTGTTTTGTGACTTGTTGAACAGCTGTGGATCTACAGAGGTGTGGTCTGTCCAGTGAAGGAGCTCGTCGTTTGCTGGAAGCTTTGAAAACTAATTCTGCTCTTTGTGTACTGGATATTCGTAGTAACCCTTTAGTTGGTAAGAAGTTACCTCAACCAAGGTCATAACATAAATTATTGGTATGTCGTTTGTTCCACACATCACTTTTGTATTGGGGATGTAATAAACTTTGCAGCCTCTAGGTGCCGCTAGCGCATTGTTAGATGTACTGTAGTGTTTCATACCAGAAAAATGCCATATTGCTACATAATACTACAATTACTTTGATACTGTAATTCTTCAGAAACATAATTTTTTTTCTTTACAGACAAGGTCCTAATTAAAACTATAATAGAGAAAGTGCTGATGAATGCTGATGGACAGTCACCAGAGGTAAGTGTCTGGAGCAAATGTACATCATTCAAAGAATAAACCATTTAATGAATGGTGTATTGGCATGCATGCTCCATATTTGTTACAAATCTGTGCTCCATGTTTTTCTTATGTTGTATTGCAGTACTGCTGGATCAAGCCTGCAGCCACAGAGCCACAGAGAGCCACTGATCCAAAGAGGCGAGCAGTCAGAGGAAAAGCTACATTTAGGATAGGTTTGTATACATTTTATATTATTTCTCACAATGCTACATTAAACACAGGTACCTGTCTGTGAATTCAGTTAAGGTCATTGTATTGTTGTGGTAGTGAGCACACAACACACAAAAAAGATCTTTTCTCTTTTATTAACATTGGGTTTTGTCTCTAAAAAGACTAAAAAAGACAGACTTAAAAACAGATTTTCAGACTCCTAAACTGCCAATTTGGTTTAGACATAGTTTTGGATGTTTAAACATGATTGAAATACGGATCTGCAAGTCTCTGATCTGTGAAAAAACAAGCACTATATTCAGTGTTGGATCTCTTTCAATCTGTTTGAGATATGATCTATTATCTCATACTCATATTGTCTTTCTGAATTCTTACCTGGCTTTTAAGTTATCTCAAGAACTGGTAAGAACTGAATTCATTTCCATCCTGTTCTCCCTTTGTTGCAAAAAGAAACTTGAAAATCATTTTCAAGTGTTTGATATGGTTTAGATTTCTTTGTATTAGAATATTGAGAATGTTTTTAGCAACAACTATATGTTTTATTTATATGATAAAATAGTATAGATTCTCACCTGACAACAAAGTCAACACTTTTAAATAGGGATGCCCAGATCGATCAGCCACCGATTGTCATTGGCCAATATTTAGTAAAAATAATTGGGAGATCGGGATTTATGCTTTCTAGTCACTGATCACGGAAAAAACAATCCATGATGCAAACAAATTGGAGCCGATTCCCAGCTGATTTGCTGTCGTTGCTGCATGCTAACTAACCTGAAGGAGCACTTCACCCCTAAAATGAAGTGTGTATCAATTTCCTCGCATGCCAGTGCCTCTTTGTGAATGTAGAATTAGTCCAAAGCACACAATCCAGCCTTGTTGAACTGCGATTCAGTTTTTAAACAGCAAAACTATATACAGGATGTCTGTGGGCTCTTTTAGAATTAGAATTTTAGACCTTAAAATGTCTTAAATATAGTCTTTAAAAAAAAGAAAACGTTAACGTTATTTGTATAAAGCTGCATTTTTCAGACTCACTTTTAAATGTGTTATTGGGGAAAAGTTTGTATTGAGAAAGTTTGAGATGATCGGCAGTCCGAATCTGCAGCAAAACATCGTGATCGGGGCATCCCTACTTTTGAGTAGTTTTTGTTTGGGTACCCAATCGTAATCAAAAGCAAAAGATGAAGAGTGCCATGCTGTCTCGTAACTGTTACAGTAACTAACATTATTTTCAGCTGGACTTTATTCTCTTATGCTTGTGATGTTTAGAACCTTCTTTTTTAGATATAAAGCACCTCGTGGATCCGCAGGCTATATCACTCCCTTATTACCAGTAATTCATGCATTAATTAACTCACAGTAAGCCATTCTGTGGAATGACTACACATACCACAGAAGCAGGATGTGAGGATCACTCACCACCGAATGAAGTACTCTATGGGGGCCTTTTCATTCATGTCCAATTGCCAGTGCTTTCAGAAAAAACCTTGCTCTCCGTTCATGAATTTCCAGTTGTTCACTTGGCTCTTTTTCTGGCACAGCCCCACGTAAAGGAGCATCTACTGGAGGCCGGAGTTCAAGTGTTGCTCAGACACAGAAGCCTTATTCCCGCTCCCGTTATGTGCCTTGGCGTGCTGCTGCACGGGCTGAACGCCAGAGGTGAGGAGATGTTGGTAAACCAATTTCCTTTTAGTTTAAAAAAAAAAAAACATCATTGTCTTCATTTATTATTATCTATCAGATAAGAAAATCTAGTTTGTGTTTTTTGGTGTCTGGTTTGAAAGTGAATGGAAATTTTGGTCTTCAGTTTTTGGCTACATTTATGGGACATGTCTCCTCAACCAACCAGAATAGAACATACTGTAAGTTTTATGTAAAATTTACAAAGCACACGTCAGGTATCGATGTGATGGCACTCAGTGAATCGAAAACTAATATTGTGTTGGATGTCTTTGTTACAGAGGTATGCCTCCTGGAGTTACTGTTATGGATCAAAGCTTTCAGGTGAGTGTTCTTTTGTTTATGTAACAGGTTGCAGCGTTGTTTCAGCCAAGTATGAATTGGATTCATTTCAAATCTTTAATGTATTTCCTTTTATGAGATTTTCTGTAGTAGAAAATGCATCAGAACTGTCAAATGGTGCCAAAAGCGATTTAAAAAGATTTGTGTTTTTTAAAATACATGGTTTCGTTAGGGTGCAGCTACTGTAAAGGTAACCGTGGAGTCAGATTCAGAGGGAGAGGAGGATGAGGAAGAGGAAAATGTGGTGGTGGAAGTGGAGCAGAGACCATCTTCTCGTAGTCTCCAGGAAAGGATCACTGGCCGCCAGGTTGAACATCTGCAGGTTAGTAACATCAGGTTAGTTCCCAAACTGGAACTTTTTTTGCAGACATATCAAAGTTTTGGACTTAATCAGTTTACTTTCAAGCACTATAAGTGTGCTGTTATGTGTGTATGTGTGTGTGTGTGTGCCTATGGATGCCCTGCAGATGGAGCTCAAAGAGTGTCGTCTGAGGCTGGGTGAGGAGCGCAGAGCCAGACTGAAAGCTGAGTCAAGACTCATGGAGGTAATGATGATCTCAGAAATACTTCATGTGATATTTTTTGTCTGTTATTTGTTTTTCTTTTGTTTTCCTCTGCATCCTTTCAATGCAACAGTCAGCAGTTAGCATTTTTTTGAATAAGCTGAGGAATTCACTCTGGATGTGAAGCTTGAAGACGTCAGTGCCAAACTTTATGTTATGACACAGAAACGTCTTTATTCCAGACTAACATTATATAGTTTGGTCTATAGGATCGGTCAGCCATATTTAAGTGCGTTTTGGATAATTACATAGCCTATAACTTCAGTCTGAAATAAGGAGAAAGCTCCTTTTATGGCAGGTAAGTTTCGTAATGTCTCAATGTCAACTGTCATGCAGCCTTTTGAAACACATTCAGATGTAATGGATAAAAGTTACAGCACTGTATTATGTATTATGTTGTTTTGTAAATGAACAAGACACTGGCTTATTCAGTGTTTTTGTTATTTCTATTCAGTATGAGCTGGAGAATGCCCGTCTTCGTGACGCCAACCACTCCCTGTCAGAGGCACTTGCAGCCACTGGATCTGCATCAGCAGCACCTGCTTTCAGTGCTCTTGAAGATGAGACAGTCCTTGAAAGCATTGAGAGCTCATTTACCAAGTTCCATGCTTTCTTGGATCTCCTAAAGGATGCTGGGTGGGTATTCCTCAAAGTGACCAGTACAACATTTCTCTTGTGACTTGGATTGTGCCAATTTGGTTCTGGTTTTAGGTGGTTTAAAAATGTGTTCATATAACTATCGTATTTTCAGTTTCATTATGTGTCTCTAGTTCATTCCTATGAGTCACACTTGTTTTTTCCACCTGGGAATCTGTTGCACCCTCTTTGTCAACATAGAATTTCACTCTGAATCCCCACAGAAAGTTATTTTCATTTAATTTAACTATTAATGTTTTCCTTTTCTTTATCCAATTGTATTTCAGTGTATTTCCTTTAGGACCACAATTGTTATTTGTTACCAATCAATCTTTGTTTTATTTTTCCAATTAAATGTTCCCAAGTCACTAAAACCCAAAGTGATCCTCTAAAGTTGTTTATTTTGTCAACCAACAGTCAAAAATTGCTGTAAGACACTTACTGCAGTGCACTTACAATCTCGTGATTTTTTTGCATAAAGAAGTAGCAATTTATATATTTTACAAGGTAGTACAGGGATTGTATGGTTGACTCCCAACAGCTCTCCCCAAGCGAATAAGTTCAGACAAGCAAAGTATGCACTACCTGCTCAGAACAAAATCAGATTAAGCAAAAGTAATTGACAAATGAGAGTTGACAACATCTTAAAATTGCTTTTTTTTTTTTCTCTCTCCTCTTTTACGCATATGTGTCTGCTGCTTTTCTAAGTCAATAGCAGTGTCAGTCAAGGCTTTATTGCTGTGAGTTTGTTTTGCTGTCTGCCCTTGTGAAAAACTTCGCTTCAAGCATCTAAATCGATCTCTCAAACTCTTTTTCACTATGGATACATAGAATACAATTGGGTAGTTGATGTCTATCTTACTGGACGACATGATGATCAGAAGTCTGTTCTCTTTTTGTACATTGACTTTTCACCATTAATGTGGTGTTCGATTCGGTTTCGTTCTGAGATGCTCTTTAAAAACTCTTATCTCTTTCTTTTGGCCCTGTTGGC